CGTTCCTACCTCTATAACTTAAAACAATTAGCCGTGTCCCCTGTTTTTAATTCATCTAGCAACAAAACAAAGTCCCCACAAGACCTCTTCATTGGTAACAATGACAGAATCTTCAAATCTTACAGCTGGATTTGCAACAAATTGGCTAAATACTGCTTTTTGTTGATTTTGTAGATGCATGTTGTCTCTTATTTACTCACAAATCCTACCTCTATAACTTAAAACAATTAGCCGTGTCCCCTGTTTTTAATTCATCTAGCAACAAAACAAAGTCCCCACAAGACCTCTTCATTGGTAACAATGACAGAATCTTCAAATCTTACAGCTGGATTTGCAACAAATTGGCTAAATACTGCTTTTTGTTGATTTTGTAGATGCATGTTGTCTCTTATTTACTCACAAAGCAAGCTCATCATTAAAACTGGGGTCATCTATTAGAAGCTCGCGTCTAGGAATGGCATGCCCTCATCTCTGCATAGTAAAAGAACAGTCATGGGAACAGGTCACTTGGGGAGCGACCTAATAAGTATTTTAGTCAAGGAGTCAGGCATGCCCCAGCTTCCTATTCAAACTCCACGTAGAAAAACCAAAAGGGGGCGAGAGGGGAGATCCCATCTCTCCAGAACAAATCTGTGGGCTCAGGAAGTGACATGCCAGTTGTGGGCCGTGATCCAAGGCACGTGTGTCGTGGCCTGTGAGGCAAACCCCCGTTTCTTATTCAAGCCCTGGGTACAAGGTGGAAGTGGGGTGGGATGGGGCAGGCTGCTGCCGAAGAACAACGCTTGAGGTCAGAGCAGGGCATGTCCCCAGCTCCCGCAGAGCCCCCTGGCGGCCGCAGGGATGTGTCCCCTGAGGGGAATCCGAGACAGCTTGTCTCGCGCGGCTCCAGTAAGTGCAGGCACCACGCACCAGGCGGCGGTGGGTTCGGGACCTCGCATCTCCCCGTGGGCGGGGATGTGCCGCCTCCCCTGGGTGACCGGAGCCTCGTTCGGTCCCCGGGAGCACTGACAGGACCGGGTAATTCCCGGAACAAAGGCCGGGAACGACAGGGGGTTTGGACCGCAGCGAGCTTGTCTCGCGCGGCTCCAGTAAGTGCAGGCACCACGCACCAGGCGGCGGTGGGTTCGGGACCTCGCATCTCCCCGTGGGCGGGGATGTGCCGCCTCCCCTGGGTGACCGGAGCCTCGTTCGGTCCCCGGGAGCACTGACAGGACCGGGTAATTCCCGGAACAAAGGCCGGGAACGACAGGGGGTTTGGACCGCAGCGCCACCGGCAGGGAAGAAGGGACCGGGGGAGAGGGATCCCTCGCCCCA